CATGTACTATGTGTCTGTCTGCTTTTGTACTGTTGAGCTTAATTTTAACTTCTGATGAGGGCTCTTGAGCACCATGTCACATTGTGCCCTTTCTGGGGAGACATTTTCATCTTATAAACAAAAAGACAAGCCAGTCATGAAAATGGCTTGCTCTTGGTGAATCTGAAATCAATTTTATAATGCTAACTTGCCTGTAAGGCTTGAATGCACTAGTTGCCAGTAGAAAATGCATCTTGTTTTAGTTTTTAGAACACTGGTGTTATCTGTGCTCTAGATGAGCAGAAGGTGAGTTCCTGCACCAAAAATCCCCTTAGTTTAGGTGTTAATTAAGACCTTGGACTTGGATGGATATTTTTACACACCAGGTAAATTCATATGTAAAACTGTGCAATGGTGAGCACAGACAGGTGGATATTTGGATGAGAGGAAAAAAAAAGACATTTCTTTTGAGAAGTTGAATTCAGAAGCTCCATTAGATTATTCATTCTCTTTCCCATTTTCATAGTTGCAGTGAAGGTCAGATATGAAGGTAAGGATTGGAAACATCTTTCCAGTTGTTCACACTGGTCCTTGTAATGAAAACCTTTGTGAAACATGCAGAAAATATATGTTGTGAGATCTAATGTCACGTTCCTGAGTGAACTAACTATTCTACGGAAATGTGGAAGAAGAATGTTTACAAAATATTAGCTTGCCTGATTAATTTAGCTGTTAATTACAGACAGGTAACTGATCTCAAATATTCTTCTCTTTCTGATTGTGTTTCTATAGTTCTCATAGAATTGGGTTGTTTCATAACTTGCGATTCACTGCACCTGTAATAGCCTAAAAATGTTAACCTTGGCATAAATCCAAAGTTACTTTAGTACTGCATGTCACTGTAGTTCTCACCATACAATTTCACCTTCTGTATGGATTAGGCTTTTGTGTCCTGTGTTGTTGTCTTGCTTTCTTATTCTCTGAGTATCCTTGGGCAGCAAGAAAATATTTAATAATGCCAAATGACTGCATTATTTGAACTCAGTTTCTAAAATATTTCTGAGGATGTGTCTTGCTACAAACTTTTATTGTGGAGTTCCATATTTCTCCCATGGCCGAGAGGTGATTGAAGATGACATCAAACACTCTTCCTGTGCTGAAACACAAACAGGCCATTTGTATGACCTTCAGATACTACAATGACAAAAAGTGTGTCTAGATGTAAGTCCTATTGATACTTAGCTTCCCAGGGACATGCATGTGGACAGTGCATCTGCAAAGACTGCAGATACTGGTAGATGAGCTGTATTCAGAATGGATTTCTCTTCTCCTGTTCTCATTTTCTAAGGTCTGTGGTATCCAGTTGCCATGGAAGAGAGAGAAGGTGATAACCACAACAGCTACTGTTAATATAAGAATTAAAATGGTCTTACGTGATGCATATGGGTCAGTGAATGGTCTGTATGTAAAAAGTTCAGCTCTATGAGTATGATAAATATCTACTACTCTCAAGTTAGGCTGAGAACACTTTCAGCCATAGTCACCACAGAGTGATTAATTATATGCTGACTACTAGTAGAAGAAAGACTTAGGGAACATCTGCAAAGTGTTGAAGGACAATGTGGTCATTGGAGAAAAGGGCAAGAGGTTCAGTACATCAAATTTATATAATGGCT